TGTCTGTCTCGCCTCACTCTTCTTGTCTGTCTCGCCTCACTCTTCCTGTCTGTCTCGCCTCACTCTTCCTGTCTGTCTCGCCTCACTCTTCCTGTCTGTCTCGCCTCACTCTTCCTGTCTGTCTCGCCTCACTCTTCCTGTCTGTCTCGCCTCACTCTTCCTGTCTGTCTCGCCTCACTCTTCCTGTCTGTCTCGCCTCACTCTTCCTGTCTGTCTCGCCTCACTCTTCCTGTCTGTCTCGCCTCACTCTTCCTGTCTGTCTCGCCTCACTCTTCCTGTCTGTCTCGCCTCACTCTTCCTGTCTGTCTCGCCTCACTCTTCCTGTCTGTCTCGCCTCACTCTTCCTGTCTGTCTCGCCTCACTCTTCCTGTCTGTCTCGCCTCACTCTTCCTGTCTGTCTCGCCTCACTCTTCCTGTCTGTCTCGCCTCACTCTTCCTGTCTGTCTCGCCTCACTCTTCCTGTCTGTCTCGCCCCACTCTTCCTGTCTGTCTCGCCTCACTCTTCTTGTCAGTCAGCTGGACTCACTCTCCTCACTGGAGAAATTACATCTGATCTGTGATGCGACTGTTGTTCAGCACGCTGCATTGAGCAGCCGCGTTCAGTTTTTAATTGTAGTGTCTGTTCTTTTATTGAACTAAATGATTTTTATTTCTATAAAAAAATCTAACGACGGTGGGGGTCGGTGCCACGGTGGGCAAGTGACGTAACCGGTGTTGCGGCTTAACAACGGTATCACCGTCAGCACCGTCTATCGCGGCAAGCCTACTACATGTGCGTTTTCTTTCTCATGTTTAAGACAAAAACAGCTGTGTTTGTGATGATGTACTGACGTAGTTTTCTGCATACTGGTCGATAAATATGAAAGAAGTCAGTTTCTGCTTGGAACAACCTTTAATGCAGAGAAACGTACGGAACGTTTCGAGAACGGACACAAACCGGGAACCTTCAGACGTGTGTGCTGCACGCAAACAAAGCGCAAGTTCTTTTCGTTCCTTCGTTTTAAATCACATTAAAATACGACCGCAGGAATCGTTAAGCAGAATCGAAATGCATGCGTCTTATCGAATACCCAGTTCTTGGAAATTAGGAACCGGTTTTAGAATATAACCATTAGGGCTGGGTATCGTTCAAACATTTTCGATACCGATACCGATACCTTGACTTCGATACCAGTCCCTAAACGATACTTTTTTCGATACCAATTTTATGAAATAAATTTTAACAAGATTGCATTATCTGAAAAATAATGACTCATCTCCTGAGCCACTGCACAAAGGAACAAAATGTAACCAACACAATAAATCAGTGCAAATAGTTTTAATAAAGCTCAAATAGTCTTCAGTTTACACATCTGTTAGGCTACATTTACAGTAGTGCGTGTTTGTGTTAAACGCATAGCTCAGACAGAATCATGATTTCTATTTATTTTCCACTGATTTACTGATGAGCATCAGCAGCTTCCAGCGCTGTCTGCCTGTGTTCTCTCTTCCATGATCGCTGCTCTGACTCAGAGTCAGAGGTAATAACATATTTAATTTCAGCTACATTACATGGCCAAAACACACATTAGACGGCAATCGGAAGTTATTACAAACACTCGATGGTGGTTTAAAGTGAGTTTTGAGTAAAAGCGGAATATAAATCTCATTTATTGTCTTATGTAGCATGATGCTACAGTTTGCATGAATGGTCACGTAACTCTCTTTCGGTCGTGTAACGTTGATCGATCTGTCGTGTGCTGCAGGCTTTTTGGCTCACTGACGCTGATGAGATTAACCCTTTAGGTATCGAAATGTGGTACCGAACGACGAGACGTTTTTCGATACTCGATGGTATCGAGGCAATTCGGTCGGTGCCTAAAAAGTATCGAACTCGATACCCAGCCCTAGGAACCGGTTATTTTGATACCCAACTCTATTTATAAAATAAGTACACTGCCGGTCAAAAGTTTGAGATCAGTAAGACTTGTAATGGTTTTACAGGAGTTTCTTCTGCTCGTCAAGGCTGCATTTATTTGATTAAAAATACAGGAAAAAATGTAATATTGTGAAATATTATTATGCTGTAAAATAACCTTTTTTTTATTTCAGTATCTGTTAAACTGTAATTTATATCTGAGATCAAAGCTGTATTTTCAGCATCATTACTCCAGTCTTCAGTGTCACATGATTGTCAGAAATCAGTATAATATGCTGATTTATTATCAGAGCTGAAACTGTTGCTGCTTCATATTTTTTTGGAAGCTGTGATACATTTTTCTTTGATTCTTTGATGAATAAAAAGATAAAAAGAACAGCATTTATTCAAAATAGAAATCTTTTCTAACAATATACACCACCGTTCAAAAGTTTGGGGTCAGTACATTTATATTCTTTTTTTTTTTTTTTAAAGAAATTAAAACTTTTATTCAGCAAGTATGTGTTAAATTGATAAGAAGTGATAGCAGAGATTTCTATTTTGAATAAATGCTGTTCTTTTGAACTTTTTATTCATCAAAGAATCCTGAAAAAAGTATCGCAGTTTCCAAAAAAAACAATTTGATAGTTCATAATTCTAATAATAAATCAGTATATTAGAATGATTTTTGAAGATCATGTGACACTTTATACTGGAGTAATGATGCTGAAAATACAGCTTTGCATCACAGAAATAAATTATATTTTAAAGGATATTAAAATAGAAACCATTTTTTTATATTGTAATAACATTTTGCAAGATTACTGATTTTTTCTGTATTTTTAATCAAATGAATGCAGCCTTGATGAGCATAATACACTTCTTTTAAAAACAATACAAGATCCCTAACTTTTGACCGGTAGTGTACATCTTTTAGAAGTGTCTGGTGTTGATGTTAGTGCTGTACGTATTTATTTACAGTCTAACAATCCAGTGTATTGTTTTAATGCTGGTCTCACTTTCAGTATTTCTCTCCGCAGCAAAACGAGATTCTCGCAGAAATCCAGAGGAGAGAGGAGGAGAGGCGAGAAGAGAGGAGAAAGAAAGAGATAGCCAAACTGGTGAGATCTTTGTTCATCTGAGAAAAGAAAAGAAAACCAAACAAAAGCCAGTTACTGCGACAGTAGAAGGAATATAGCATTAGCTGGATGAATGTGAAAAATCAACCAAATGTACAATATTGTGTCTTCCTTCGTAAAATACCAAGGCTTGTGGGTTTAATCAGGTTGTGTTATATCAGATACAATATTTAAATATTTAATTATATAAACAGTATTAATTTTCACAGCTTTGGGCCTTTTGTATTGTAATTCTTATTATTATATTCTAATAGTATTTATAATATTCATAATATTTAAAAATTATAGTTTAAATATATTAGAAATTAAATATTATAATTGTATTTATAATATTTATATAATTTTTAAATAATCATATGGGCCTATTTTATTATTATATTTATATTTAAATAATTACTTTTATATGCATTTTTATTTTTTATAGCATTGCAGTAAATCATAGGGGCCTACTATGTTACATTTTTTATTGTTGTATTATATTGTTTAAATAATGCATATAAACATTATAAATGGTCTTAGCAGTGAGGTTTTATTTGTTAATATATTCTATTATTAATTTTTTATTATATATACAGTCAAACCAAAAACTATTATATAATATAATTTTATTATATATAATTTTATATAATTTTTAATATTTGTTTACTAGTGGGTGCAGGACACCATAGTTCATTCAATAAAAGTAAACTAAAAAAATAAAGTAAACTGTGACATATTACACCCAAAAAGTATTCATAAATTGGACTAACAGTAAAGTTAATAAATATTTGGGACTAAAAATAATTCCGATACTTTGACCTGAGCATGTTCTGTTTGTCCCGAATATCACGAGTTTAAATGTGATTTACACAACAGTTCAGTAAATAAGAAGTTAATACTGTTATATTTTAAACACAATATTATGTTTTTGCTCAATTTAGCATAGAACATATTATCTTTAAAGCCATAGCAGAATTGTTGTTCTGAGCGACACAGCGGTGTTTAGTTTCTGAATGAATCCGCGTTTTGAACGAATCGTGTGAATCGTGTGAATCAATGATTCAAATGCCCATTCATAGGGCGAATTCCAAACAGAAGTGTGCATCCCTATGCCCTACTCTCTTCGAAGGGCAGAGCCCTTGTTTAATTCTCTCATCATTTACTCACCCTCATGTCGTTTTAAACCTTTCTTTTGTGGAACAAGAAATAAGGTATTTTGAAGACTGTTGGTACAAAGCTGTTTTGGTTACTAATGACTTTTATTGTATGAACAAAAAATAGAGGTTACTGATATGTTTCTCAAATTATCTTCTTTTATGTTCCATAGTTTATGTTAGGCCATTGCAGCCTAAATGTTTATGTGTAATATATTTTATGTTGAATCAATTAAAATATTTATTTCTAAAGCTACACTTTGTAATGTCTACTTGATATACTTTCTCATTTAACACAAAAATAGCTTTAAATAATCTTTTGTGGGTATTTTCACAGTCAAATTTATTTTGCGATTAATTAGATTAATTAATCGAAACCATGTAATTAATGACTGACAGCCCTATTTTTTACATTTCTTATTGTTATCAATGTTTGAAATAGTTATGCTGCTTAATAGTTTTGTGGAAACCATGTTATGTTTTGTTTTCAGGATTATTTGATGAATAGAAAGAATTTAAATTTTTAGAATTTCAAAAGAACAGCATTTGTTAATAACATTATAAATGTCTTTACTGTTACTTTTGGTTTAAATTTAATGACCCCAACTTGAATTCAGTTTTTCTTCCTAACATTTTCCACAAACTCACCCTCTTTCACACCCCGAGGTTTGAAACCCCAGATTTAGTGAAATCGCCCAGTGCGACAGTTGATTTAGTGAGGACGATGTGTTTCCTAAGGAGAGAGAGATGAGCGTGGAGGTGCAAATAGATCAGGAGCAGAAAATGACTGCATTCGTATCACCGAGACCATTCATTGTTGAAACTAGAAGACATCTGCTTATAATCCAGAATGACTGTAAAGTGCAGCTCTCATCTGCTCTGTATTAGCTGGAGATGTGTGAGATAGACAGATTAAGAGTCATGGAGAGAGAAAGAGAGAGTATGGAAGAGAGAAAGCATTTTATTGGCAGCAGAGTGATGATGTAATGAAACAGGCACCTGTCCACAGTGTGCCTCTCTCTCTGTGTGTGTGTGTGTATGTGTGTGTGTGTGTGAGGGTCTCGCTGGCTGCAGGGTTTGTTTTCCAGCCTTCCCATTCTTATCTCATGACTAACTTTACAGCAACTGAGTACGTCCCCCCCAAAACCTCACCCATCACCCCCAGCTTCTGCTCACACTGACATTTTATATAATTTTTAATATTTGTTTACTAGTGGGTGCAGGACACCATAGTTCATTCAATAAAAGTAAACTAAAAAAATAAAGTAAACTGTGACATATTACACCCAAAAAGTATTCATAAATTGGACTAACAGTAAAGTTAATAAATATTTGGGACTAAAAATAATTCCGATACTTTGACCTGAGCATGTTCTGTTTGTCCCGAATATCACGAGTTTAAATGTGATTTACACAACAGTTCAGTAAATAAGAAGTTAATACTGTTATATTTTAAACACAATATTATGTTTTTGCTCAATTTTGCAGAGAACATTACCTTTAAAGCCACAGCAGAAGTGTTGTGCATGTTTAGTTTCTGAATGATTCAGCCTTTTGAACGAATCATAAAGGCATTTATCGCCACCTGCTGGCAGATTTAGTTTCTTATTTAGAGTATTATTTCATTAAAAAAATTATAATAATAATAAAAACATTAAAGAGAGAGTTCACCCAAAACAATTTAAATTCTGTCTTTATTTACTCAGCCTCATGTTGTTTCAAAACTTTCTTTTGTGGAACATAAACGAAGGTATTTTGAAGACAAAGCTGTATTGTATGAACAAACAATACTGAGATGTTTCTCACATTATCTTCTTTTATGTTCCATGTTTATGTGTGATTAATTTTATGTTGAATCAAACAAAATATTTCTTTCTAAAGCTACAATTTGTAACGTCTACTTGATACTTTCTCATTTAACACAAAAATAGCTTTAAATAATCTTTTTGGGATATTTTCACAGTCAAGTTTATTTTGCGATTAATTAATTGAAACATTGTGTCAAAAGTTTGGGATCAGTAAGATTTTTAATGTTTTTTAATGGAGGCTTTTATACTCATCAAGGCTGTATTTATTTGATCAAAAAAGCAGAAAAAACAGTAATATTTTGAAATATTTTTCAATTTCTAATATTGTTTTTGTTTTGTTTTAATATATAGTAAAATGTAATTTATTTCTGTGATGCGCAGCTGTATTTTCAGCATCATTACTCCAGTCTTCAGTGTCACATGATCTTCAGAAATCATTCTAATATGCTGATTTATTATCAATGTTTGAATCTTTGATGAATAAAAAGTTAAAAAGAACAGCATTTATTTAAAACAGAAATCTTTTCTAACAATAAAAGTATTTACTATCACTTTGTATCAATTGAACACATCCTTGCTGAATAAAAGTTTTAATTTCTTTCAAAAAAGAAAGAATCAAAATTTACGGTAGTGCATATTGTAACACATTGTTAAAATCAAAAGTTGCAACTGTGTTATTTAATGAGCTAACATGAACTAAGACTTGTATTT